ACCAGAAAAGACCAACAGGATCAGGATCACTACTGCCAGCAACTCCACCCTCGCTCAATCTTAAGCTCGTTAGTGACACATCCAGGAAGTGCCCGGGCTCGGGTTCGTTCATCTCGATGTGCCATCATGCCAGCTGCCGTCTGAGCCCATCCCGCACGGCTTGGCACGATGTCTGCCTATCTCCGGGCATTGGCTGCTCTCGATCCCTGGCAAGGTCTACCACCACCACACCCCTCAGAGCTTGAGGACGAGAACCACTAGGCAATTTTGCAGTTACGATCGTGATGTTGTGCCCTGTGGTAAACATACAAGATGGCCACGCCCTTGTCACAAACATTGAGTTGCGATTAGGGACACTTCTGACTAGACTTGAGTCCAGCAGCAAAGAACGGACACTTCAGGCAGCACTGCACACATCATCACATCGAAATCCGAACTCTCCATTTCAGAAACCAACGGGCAAGCTCACCCTTAACCTACCCAGCTCACAACCGGCTTTCTGACCGGCTTTATACCATTCGTGTCCCCCACCCCCAAGCCTCCCAAAAAGAGGAAGAAAACAGCAGAAGGTTTGGGGTCCCCGCGATCATATTCCCCGAACTGGAAATCTAAACCCTAATCCCCACGAGAGCCCGAGTCCTGCTGAGGAGAGCTGGTCACTCGAAGGCCACCACTCCGTTTCGGGCTTGGGGCCGTATTTAAGGCTTAGGGCTTAGGGCTGGTTTAGGGCATAGGGTTTAAAGGGATCCGCTAAAGTTCCAGCTCGATGACGGTTTCGGGATGTATTCCCACAGACTCCCACACCCCTTCAGTTGTGATCTCGATCCGTTTGCCCTAAAGAGGAGCTCTTTGCGGTTACAAGGCTTGTCGCGGTTTTGTTTGGAGACAGAGCAAGGCCTCAGGGGCTCGGCAGTGCTTTCAGGAGGCACAGCTGTACGCACTCATCCGACGTCTGTGTTTCGCACTCTGCCACCAATTTCCCGGAAGATTAGGGTTTACGCGAGAAGTTTTGAACCCGGATTAAGAAGTTTTGCATTCTGCGTTTCTTGTTGCTGACATTCGTGAGAGCCAAGTTAAAGATTGCGAAGAGCCTAAAAGGGGTGTGTACACGGCTGTGCAAACAAGGCTAAAAGGGTTTAGGGCCATTGTTGTAATGTCTGTGGTACCTGATGAACTCTAGCTATGGGCCATGAGCGGGGACTGCACGGCTGGTGGTGACCCTAAGCCTCACAAAGAACGGGCCAGAAACCATGCTTTGCCACACGTTTCGACGTTGCACTTTGAAGATGTTGAGGTGGACTATTGCACCAGCCTGCACAGAAAACTTCAGAGTGATACTACTCGCCCTCACGTCAGGAGACCAACTGGAGCCCGAGTTCTTGGAAGCTTACGGACACTTGGACTTGGACTGCCAGTGGACGGGGTTTCGGTTACTTGATGATGTTGCTCATTTTGTTGGTAGAGACTCGCTTTTGATTTACGTTCTCCATGCATGCCGAGCCCGTTCTCATTATCGAAGGGTGCATGTGTATGTATACATACATATACACTATACACGCATAAAGTTTTACATGCACATGTACATACCTGTATACTGATACAAAAGTATACACGTAAATATGAGCTCGATTTAAGCACCATGATAAATACATGACATAAATACATAAATACATCTAGATGGAAAAAGAGCCCTTCCCGAAACCCTGGACCTGAACCCTAAACCTGAGCCAGGAGAAGCAGCAAAGAGCCTACGTCACAGCACCAACGCTTCGAGGCCTGGAATGTTTGCATCTCCTAGGGTTTTTGCAGGTTTAGGCTTTTTGCTGAAGGCTTTTGTCGAGGGCCTTTCGGCTTTGTGGACTTTCCGGACTCTAAAAGCCCTGTGACAGGATCAGGATCCTCGACATTGGAGCTGGTGGGGGCTTCTCGGAAGAAGATGGGCTGTACAAACTGGCTCTCGGATGTATCGAAGATTGCAGGTCCTACGCTTGCCTTGGAACAGACACCTTCCAACGAATTCTCAACAACAGTAGAGGAGCTTGTTTCGAGTTGCTTGACTGAAGCATCGCCGCAGGCAGTGTTATCAAGGTCAGGCATTGCATTCGTAGTGCAAGTGGTAAGCTGGTTTCAGTTCTCTTTTTCAGATTGAGATGAACATGTATGCTTTCGCTTGGAGTCTTTAATTTGAAGCCTCTGGACAGCCTGTCGCAACGGGAAGTTACAAAAACAACAGAGGAGACAGGAAGCAGGTGAAAGAACACTAGGTCCTCAAGTTCGCACTGCAGCTTGAGTCAAGCTGCATCGATGCCGGACTTGCGGCTCGTGTGGGCTGGTTGGGGGCCACACGTTCGGCAGTCGCTGCTTGGCCTCGTAGCCGATGCGGTGAGAAAGAGTAGCCTTTCCGTTGGGAGCGAGCTCCTGATAGAGTGTGAGAGTCAGCGACCGGTGGTCGAGGAGCATCTCACCGCATGGCGGCGAGCTCACAGCGGCTCCGTTCTTCAAGCCTTGGCGCCATCTCGCATTGTCTACTCGCCAGACAGCATTGCTCGGAGCCACACGCAGACGAACTTGTGCGAGGTTGCCCACACTGCCCTTACCTCGCTGTCTCAGAAGGATGGCGTGAATGATGTTCGCTTCATTGATGCAGTGGAGCCAAGCGCAAGGCTTCCCTACTTATTTTGGGCTGCGGCGCATGGGGTGCACACTTTGACAGACAAACCCTTGCATGTGCTTGCCTACTGAACAGAACATGCGTCGCTTGGAAGCTTTGGTGGCATCCTCCGACACAAGCCGCATTTGCCCGCTGCTGCAGCGTCGTGTCCACCCTGGCTACCAGTGGATGGAGCATCAGATCCAGCAGGTGTGGCAGCAGCATAGGGTGCCGGTGACATTTGTGCAAGCATATCATGATTGATGGCAGGCCCGTGTTCTGGCGAGAGCGCGGTATGTACAGTCACCCCATCCATCATGGATACGGGGTGTGGGTGCAGACTGGCTATCACTTCCTAGATATGTGTTACAGGTGACGCTTCATTCAGATGAGGCATGCAGAGTAGTCTCGGTACGAGCAGACACAGCAACCAATGTCAAGGACTCAGAGCAAGCGCTTGGTGCAGCTTCACCGCTTGGCAGTGGAACTCACAGCTTGTTCGATGCGCATGATGCCAACAATGTGTACGATGTCGCAGAGATCGATGCAATGCTGAGCTTCAAGGTCTGGACTCCTCGTAATCGAATTGTTGCGCTGGGCTCTGTCCAATGCATGCACAGCTCTTTCAGCAGGCGTGCATGGTTTGACCGCAAGCTCGATGCCTACAAGGACAATGGTGGGGTAGACCAGGAAAGTTGGATTGTCAGTTGCAATCATCTGCGCACACTTCACCCCTATGCTCTTCGTGCTTACCAGGATACAGAGACAGTGCCACTACCCCAGCAGCTACCTAGTGGCTCCACAGGAAGTCGCAACCACTTTGACGTGCACAGCTTCTCAAGTCCGTTGCTGGCCGGGCCAGGGGATTTGTCTCCTCTTTCTTCTCGGAGCTTTGCTGCCGAACTTACTGCTGCAAGCCCCAAATCAAGTTTGGTTCAGTGTTTCCTGGCAGAGCCCCACAAGCTTCCTCATCTTGTGGGAGCACTGCCTGAACACATGCCGTCGATGCGGGTTTTGGCTGCAGCCTACCACTCAATGAAGCTGTCCCGTGCTGCACGACAGTCCTGCTGGGTTGACCTCCATGTTTAAACCTGACAAGATTTTCTCAGTGACGGTACAGGTGGCTGCCAATTCGAACAAGTTTCGTGTGGAGACTCGCCTGCCATGGGGAAAAAAGGGGGCACCCCGTAAAACAAGATTGACCGTGTTTGTGACTTGGTTCGGCTTTGATAAACACGTTGAACAGTGTTGAAACACGTAGACGAAATCAGATGTTTCCACCAGTGCCGAAAAGAGAAGTAGTTTTTCAGTTTTCCCTCAAGGAAATATACTGCCTCCACGCGCTATACAAAATCAGCAAGAGTAGGAGCAGAAGACCGAGACGGTCGTCATGTGGCTTTGAAGGCTCGATGGTCGTAAGAGACGCGGGAGGTAGAGACGGAGAAACCTCGCTTCTTGGAATGCTTGTGCATTTCAAGGCAGCGCTTGCAATGACGAAGCAGGAAGCCCTTGCAGGCTTATCGAGATTCATGGATAAGTGGCCTTCAGACCAACAAGATGTGCTCCGTGGACTTCGCGGCAAGCCTCTGATGCCTCATTTCTCGTCAGTACTTGATGCCCAAAATGACTTTGACTTCCACTTCTTGGATGGAGTCAATGGCAGTCTTAGCAACGTCCTCACTGGTGACTTGTCACCGGAAGCATGGGGGAGTGTAGAGAACTGGATTTTTCGACTCTACATTGGACGGACGCCAAACAAGTTACGTGCCTTCCTGCGCACAGCGTGCAATTCGTCTGCTGCTTTCCGAGTTCTCGAGAGACGTACCCAAGATGATAGTGACGGCGGCATGCACCCAATGCTGCAGCAAGCGAGGGCGTTGTTGACCCTGCAGCCCACAACCAGCGTGATGTCTCAGAAAAAGAATGCTGATGGAGGGCTTGTAAAGAGCCAAGTCGCCGAGCTCTTCAGTGAAGACAGCTTGCGGGTAATCGGAGTTTTGCTCAGGATCACCTCGCGCTCTGAACGAATGTGGGCAGAGGGTGAAGACTACGGAGAGTTCTTTGCCAGGTCTGCCTGGCCAGAGGCATCCGAACCCAACAAGCCTGCCCGTTGGATGGACAGTATCACAATGATGCCAACGGACAGATCATTCATCTTCGCAGTTGGCCCATCTACAACCACGTTGCTGCATGTTCACCTCATCCACAGGTCAAGTGCGCTGGCACGATAGCAGGTTGTATCGTCAAGTTGCCAAAGCATGTGGTGCTTGGTAGCAATCCATCCGAGACAGGCAGAACGGTGCAGGGGACCTACTGCCGCGAGTCACGGGCAATCAAATGGGCTGGTGGGATGCAGTGGCGCAAGGGACCGGAAGTGTCACAGGCTACCAGGACATCCTTTGCTCGTCTCTTCACCATGGTACATGCAGAGCACACAGCTGGCAGTGTCGTCACCCATGCCACTTCGTTGCTTTCCAGCGCCTGGTGCGACCCGTTCACCGCTTATGCAGCAGGCATCCTAGGCTTTGCTGGCCCTCTTCATGGACGTGCCAATCAAGAGTTCATTTGCATGCTGCGCGACTTGCCAGGCATTCACTCGGGAAAAAGCATCATGTGGAGAGTGCCTGCTGAGGAGGCCTTGAAGCAGTGGGTGTCGCAGCGCTTGTCGGATGGAAAGATGATGTATGGGTTCGGCTGTAAGCATCCATACCCTGACCCCCGCTATACGATCATGGTTGAGTTCGCAAAGAAGCACAAACTGGCGGAGAAGTCGTCGCTGGTCGCCCTTGCGTGCCATCTTGGGCAGGAGCTGCCTCCTATTCTGCAGAAGCTTAGTAGAGCTGTGCAGCCTTTTCCGAACCCCGATGCCATTAGTGGCGTCTTGCTGCAAGAGTGCATGGGCATCGGGCCCGAGGAGCAGCATCCAGCCTTGCTTGCGCAATCTCGTGCCATTGGTGCTTTGGCAGCAGCTTCTTAGCAGCGCATGCTTGGCCTCCCAATCGAGCGTCCTCAATCTCTTTCCATTCAGCTCAGCAGCAAATAGTTTAAGAGAGAAAGCAATCCGAGATTGTGTTGCGAGCTTGCCGGGCAGCTTGTGTAGTACATAAGTTTGCAGTACAGCTTTGCGGCTGGAGGCTTCACAGACAGCCCCCACCGCATCCTGAAGTAACATGTTGGGACTAAGCAAGTCCGTGCGGAAGCATGTCAAAGCACCATGACGAGAAAGTCTTGCAACAGTCGCATGACTGGACAACAGCTGCTCGTCCAGTCGAAAATTGAAAGGAGCTCATTGGAAGTGGCACAGCAAGTGTGCGTGGCCAATGCAGTTCGATCTTGCTAGATCGTTTATGCAGCAGGTGAATGTTGACTGCAGGCATCGCACTCCTTTGGGTACGTGCAGCTGCCTATATAAAGCAAACTGCTTAAAGGTTCGGTCAGGGCACGCGCCGAAATCTAAACCCGCAGAAAGCCCCAAGGAGGAGACCTCCGCTACATCCGCCGGGCCCTGGATGCGGCGGAGCTGTCGCTGACGATGGTGGAGGAAGATACATTGATACATAATCCCAAAGGGTCTAAGTATCATCTTGGTATATACTTAGACCCCCAAAATACCCTATAAGTATATACCAGAATTTGGACCCTTTGGGAATATTCAGGTCTTGGGTTCGGGGTGTTGGTTTCGGATTTTGGGGCTTCGGGGTTCTGGGGTTGAGGAGGTTCACCTTAAACACGGCTTCATCAGAGCCCGAATAGAGGCTTCACAGTGTGAAGGCTTCGCATTGGAGCCTGTCTGGTGTGGAAGCCCCGGAGTCCTTGACAAGAGCTGCTTAAAGTTTGTGTTTATGAGACGGAGAACAAAGTAGAGCGAACCCACTTGGTGTGAACATGCACTTCGAATGCAGAATTCCTGGCCAAATCTACCAGCATCGCATATGGGGAAGCTGGAATGCCAGATGCCTAAAATACTCAACTCTGCAGACCTGAAATGCCGTACCCTTATTTCACATCTCTAAGTAGTCAACTTGTCCTTGCTCCAGGTGGTCGCAGTCGAACCCAACCAGTCACTTTGTTGCAGTACTGGGGCCTTAATAATCGAATAGAGTTTTATGTCTTTTATGTTTTTGTTTCAAACAGGCTTTTAGTGCTGCGGCCTTCATTTTCTAGATGGGGGGCTTAGGGGGTGTATCACACTTTGAAAGTATGGAGCTATAAGAAGATACTATAAGTGGATAGTATCTTCGGCTACTTGCTTACTCTTGTCAGGCAAGCTCAGAGATCTCTCCCTTGGCAACGTTTCCAGAGCCCCAGCGCCACCTGCACTTTCTCCACACCTCACACAGTATGTGTATCTCCCAGACGCCCAGCGCTAACATGTCCATCGACAGACAATGATGAGCTTCATGAGTCCAGTGAGTCCACATGTACATTAGGGCCCTGCATCCCAGGCGAAGCAACTTCAAAAAGAAGTCTAAACTCAGGTGCACTTGGCCCCGCCTGGAGCAGGAGCAGAAGCGATGGCTGTCGGATATTGCCGATTTCCGGATTCTTCCTGATATGTCGAAGTTATATCCAGCATCTTTGCCCGCGATCTGGATACCTTTTGTTTAAATGTGTTTGGACATCGTTGCAGCCGCAACCACCGCCATAAGATCGCGTCAGTCCAAGCCGCAGTTGCTGCGTCTTACAATTCGGCCATGCAGTCCCAAGTGCATGTTTAGCAGCCACTTACCAGCACTCGCACCTCAATGGGTGCATTATGTTACATCCTGGGAAAACCATCCTTTACGCGAGATGACATCAGAAAGCCATCTGTCTTGTCTGTGCATCGTCTTTGCTTGCCAAAGATTTGCAGTGTCTAACTCTGCAGCGCCGTGAAACCTGCGCACAGTCAACCTGACCCCAAGTCCATCTTGTGCTGTCTTACTTCGACCAGAAGACTAAACAGCTAAACGTACCTGGGCCTTGTCCAACTATTGAGGCCGCGGTATAACCCGGTACAGCACCCCAAAACTTCCCGTAAAGGAAGCCTGATAGTGCCTTTGTAAGACTTTAAACCCTGAAAGGAGCCTTATTATAATGCCCTTTTAAGACTTTAGATCCTGAAGGGAGCCCGTGTAAGACTTCAAACCCTGAAGGGAGCCCTTACAGGTAGATGGCTTCGACTTGGCCGTGCTGCAGCATGTTCTCTGTTGTGCACAGCAGCCGCGGGATCTGCTGGAAGAAGTCCGAGCAGCCTTGAAGCCAGGCGACCCGGACGAAATGAGGAACAAATAAATCCATAGATAAATGAATAAACAAGTGTGTGTATATGTACAGCTGTATATTCATATATACATAAACATACATACATACATACATACATACATACACGCGCACACACACGCACACGTATACATATACACATGTATGTATATATATATATATATATATATATACAAGGCTCAGATCGCCAGAACAGCCTGGAATACTGTAGCCCCAGGCAAGCCTCGCTTGCCGACGTGTGTAGGAAGGCATCGCTAAGCATCCTTCTTCGCCTAACTGGCACCGCCATCGCCGAGCACATCGTTCAAGAGCTCGGGCTTCGCTCCGAGCAGGCCGCCGACTGTCACGACGACAGTATACCCATTTGTGGGTTCACCACGGCTCCGGAGTCAGAATGGGAAAGGCCAACAAGGGATGGCGAGGTGGCAACGATTATGGTGGGGACTCACAAACCTGGCGCTACTGGGAGGGGCCGTGGCATCCCTCAGCCGACCAATGGGGATGGGATCAGAGCTCATCCAAGCCACAGTTCCCTGCCTACGACAAGATGCAACAGCCTGTGGGCAAGGCCAAGGGCAAAGGGAAGCCGACTTCGGTCGACTTGTCGTCGGATCCGGAAGCGGCCCTGGTGCAAACTCTCCAAGACAATGTGAACTTGGCCAGGAAAGCAGAACAGAGGGTTCGCACCCTTGTTGCGACCAGGAACAAGAAGATAGAAATGTGGCAGCTGTTTGTCGACAACATGAAGAAGTCTTTTCTCACCGAGCTCCACAGACACGAGAAGGATGTGGAAAAGATCGACAACGACCTCGAGATGGCCCTGCAGACGCAGGAGCTCTCCAGGCGCAGGCTGCGCACTATTATCCAGCACGGCCACGAGACAGAGAAGGAAGAGGACGAGCACGAGGACGACTGGCAGGCCATGGTGGCAGACTGGCAACAGTCGCACCGGACATCCTACGATGCGGATGGTGTTCTACAACGGGCATTGCAGGCCTGTGGTGTGGACAAAAAGAAGCTGCTTGCTGCAGTCGCAGCGGACAAGCCCTCGCCCTCGACAAGAACGGCTCAGTGCAGCGAAGCCTTCCGTGGATGGTTAGATACGCCCAGTCCAGCATCGAAGAGGAAAATGCCAGAGGAATCCGGGGATGGTGCCCCGCACCATCCTCCCAGGACATCACCAGCACATCGCAAGCCGGTCAAGCCCAACACAGTCTCTCCACCTGTCAGGAGCCAGACAGACAGAGGCACGCTCAAGACAAAGCTCGAGAAGGCTCGGGAGCAAGCCTTGAGATCGGAGGGTACGGCTATGAAACCGTTTGGAGGCGCGGGTCAGCCTCCGAAGACCGAGCATGCTCCCGACGAAGGGCACAATGGTGGTGTTGTCCACGTGGAAGATACGGAGATGCCACTTCCCGATGGGACATCACAATTGAATCTGTACAAATTATAGCGACGTCACGCGACGTCACCCTGAAAATCTCCAAAATTAGCGACCGCAGTCTTCCCAAATTAAGCGAAATTAGCGACCCAGCCCTCTGACCCATTGGGCCGAGACAGGCAGGATTTCTGCTGGTTGGCACAAAATTTAAACAACGATATCGCTCGATTTCTGCTGCGATTTCTGCTTGTCGGCTTGAGCATTATTTGGCTCAGGACGGCTCGCTTTCCGCTTTTTGGCTTGTGGGATCCCACAAAAAGCACTATCTGGCCCAGATAGGCTCGTTTTCTGCTTTTTAGCTTGTGGGACACCAACAAAGCACTATCTGGCCCAGACAGGTTCGTTTTCCGCTTTTTGGCTTGTGGGACCCCTCCCAAAACAGCACTATTTGGCTCAGGACGGCTCGCTTTCCGCTTTTTGGCTTGTGGGATCCCACAAAAAGCACTATCTGGCCCAGATAGGCTGTTTTCTGCTGTTTAGCCTGTGGGACACCAACAAAGCACTATCTGGCCCAGATAGGCTCGTTTTCCGCTTTTTGGCTTGTGGGACCCCCCCAAAACAGCACTATTTGGCTCAGGACGGCTCGCTTTCCGCTTTTTGGCTTGTGGGATCCCACAAAAAGCACTATCTGGCCCAGATAGGCTCGTTTTCTGCTTTTTAGCTTGTGGGACACCAACAAAGCACTATCTGGCCCAGATAGGCTCGTTTTCCGCTTTTTGGCTTGAGGGACCCCCCAAAACAGCACTATTTGGCTCAGATAGGCTCCTTTTCTCCGCCTGAGAAAAATGAAAGATGGACTGCCGGATCCTTGACATTGCTGTCTTGAGTGTCAGTCCAAATTGACTACCGGTAATTACCAGTACCACCTACACTGCCAACTGCTACCACTATAATATTACTGCTTTTAATGTTGAGTCCCACAAGCCAAAAAGCTGAAAACGAGCGTATCTGAGCCAGATAGTGCTTTTTTAGTGGGCCCACAAGCCAACAAACAGAAAACGAGCCTATCTGAACCAGATAGTGCTTTTTGAGGATCTTACAAGCCAAAAAGAGGAAAACGAGCCTATCTGAGCCAGATAGTGCTTTTTTGGGGGGGTCCCACAAGCCAAAAACCTGAAAACACGCCACTAGCTATTGCTGCTTCTGCTGCTACTACGACTACCACTACCACTAGTACTACTAGTACTACTACTACTACTACTACTGCTACTACTGCTACTACTGCTACTGCTACTGCTACGACAGCAACAACTACTACTCTACCACCACTACTACTACTACTACTACGACGACGACTACTATTGCTGCTACTACTTTTATTGCTACCACGACGACGACTACTACTGCTACTACGACTACGACACTACTACTGCTACTACTGCTACTACTACTACCACTACTACTACTACTACTACTACTACTACTACTACTACTACTACTACTACTACTACTACTACTACTACTACTACTATTACTACTAGTAGTACCACTACTGCTGCTGCTACGACTACTACTACTGCTACTACTACTACTAATACGACGACTGCTATTACGTTTACTTCCTCTACCACGACGCCTTACCACTTCTGCTACTACTCTTGGCCACACAGCCCTCAGCCCGCTAATTTCGGGTGTGAAATTAAATAGCGACCGCAACGGAAATTATCCGAGACGTCACCGGCCTAATTTCGAATTGTATTTATTATAATTTGTGCAGTTGAATGGCCTCGGCTAGCAATTGCCGCTGCCGACCTTTGGACACACAATCCAGGTCGGCCCTGCTTGCAGCAGACTGGTACTTCTTCTTACAGTGAGTCAGCCCTTGCTTGCACTGACCCTATCTCCCTGGACGGCCACGGCAATCTGAGACCGATGCTACTCGCTAAGGTTTCGCTTGCCCAGTCGCCGATCGGGTTGAGAGACTGCCAGTGTGGCAACTCGGAAGACAGCCAGATGCCTGAGCCGAGCATGTACAGATGGGAGGAATGTACATGTACACATAGTTTCCCCCCTTCTTTCAAGCTGTCAAAGTGGGACGCTTGTACGCCCTGCTCATTGTACTCTTCTCGCCAGATCCCTCGTATCCATATGAAGCATTGGGTTCTTGCTCTCTATGGATTCAGTGGATCAGTCTCCTCTGACAACTACACAGAGCACTGGATTTGTGCATTGTGTTGGCTGTCCTCGCCATGTCCCTGCCTTACTGCCCTTTTCCATGAGGATGCAATGTCAGTGCAGAACTTCTGGACCTTTCGAGCGCTTAAGAAACACATCGGTAGCTCTGGGGTGTTCGCCGATTTTGGGGTCCATTTTGTTTCAGGTTCGCAATGTCACTGTCAGGCGACCGTTGCAAGTGATCGATGCATTGATGGTGACATAATCTTGACAGTGCTTTTGCACCTCGCTTCAGTTGTAGTACCAGCTGCCAGAGCAGTACTTTTTCTGCTCTTTGTTGCGCTTTGCCGAGTCTTGTGCAGCGCGATACCGGATAGAAGGGAGCCTTTGGGAAAGCTCCTCTTGTCCCTCACTGCCGGGGCTGACCCGAAGCTTTCGGCAAGCCTCAATGTTGGCACATGTGCCTCACGCCCAATTCTCATTTGGCTGCCGCTCACTCCGAACAAGCGCGGGCGTTGCGCCCTGCGGCGCCCTCCGAGGGGTACTTACGGTCTCCGTACCAGGTTTGTATTTGGCTTTCTGCGGTGGCTTTTTCCGCTATGGGCACTTCCGTGTCAACTTTGGAGTGCACCCAGTGGAGTAGCACTTTGGTTAAGTCTCGCATGTTGCCCTTGTGTCAATGCAGCCCTATCAGGTCTGCCTGATGACCTACCTGCCGATTTGCAGCAACCTGCTGCTTCGGACGAGGACAGGATAGCAGTCGGTCTACCTTGTGTCAATGATCTTGCCCAAAGTGTGCCAACAACTGAGAGTACAGATGGACTTGATTTCAATAGCCATCATCTGCCGCACGACTCAGACACTGTTTTTACGAGTGCCTGCTCTGAGCAAAATCCTCTCAGCATAAAGCACTTTACAGTTCTTTGTCCATTGCACCACACCGAGTTGGTACAAGTTGTAGTACGTGTTCCGGGCTCCAGTGAAACCGAGGTCCTCCATGAGGTTTTGCAAGGTCTCTCACACTTGAGGTTGCCTTATGCACGCTGCCTTACACCCACCGTTCCCCAGCTTGACCAGGGCTCTGCGTCATTAGTCCTTGGGGGCTCTTGGCACCACATCTACGGGGACACTATTGTTGTCTTTGATTTCCGGCCACTTGGTGGACCGTGCTATGCGCAGCATCTGTTCTCTGATGGAAGATACAGTGATCTGTCCGAAGCTGCGGCGAATCAGGGTTTCGAGAGTTTTCAGGCCTTCCTCTTTGGAAGCCAAACCCCGCTTGCGGTTGGCTCTCGATTCACAAGCCAGCATGGTGGTGTTATTCAGTTCAGGTCACCACACAGTCACCCGGTTTGGTTTGGTGATTTTGCTGACAGACTGCAAACGGCTGCTGCTTGGGGTCGTCCAACATTTGATATTCCCCAGGGTGGACCTTTCACTCTCGCTCTCGGGGATGTCGTTCGCCCTATTCGCCAGCCAATCTCGCACAATGTCACGCTTGAGCCAGCTATCGCTGCTCTCCTTGAACAGCCTATCGATAGACTTACTTTTGCTTCACCAGTTGATGGTCGATTGCAGGATGCTTGTCATCACGGTTGCAATTGTGAGCAAGTTGTGGCAGTGCAGTGTTCCCCGCCACCTCAGGGCGGTCGTGATCCAGGTTTCTTCGTTTTTATTGATGGTAGGCAGGTAGGGCGTCCACTGACTTACACCTGGCTTGATGTTCCAGTTGTCAGCATTGGCTACCTTGCCCGGTTCACCGGTTTCTTCCGTTTGCCCGTAGGCTATCACCTTTCTATCGAGCGGGCAATACCAGCTGCAGCCGAAAATCACATCCATGTGCGTAACGGCGAAGTTATTGTTTTCGGGTTCCGCTCGGCCGAGGAATCAGAAGCGAGCCCGCGGGTTTCGGACTCCTCTGGGGAGTCTCCAGCTGCCAACTCAGAGGATTCCACTACCCACCCTGCTGGTAGTCATTCTCGCTGCCCCTCTACTGGTACCTCTTCCCCAGACTCTGCCCAGAGCAGGGGATCTCGTAGTAGGTCTCGCAGCTGTCCTCCCGGACAGAGGTGTAATCGGTTTAAGACCCCCTCCGCCCGACCTGTTGTGCCCTATGCCAGGCATTCCTCACCAAGCCAACCGGATAGTACCTACTGGGTCACCAGCAATGATCACTCGCTTCCTGGTCATGTTACTGTTGATTCTTGCAAGCGTAACAGTGGTCCAACGTTGCAGCAGCGCCTTGTCGATGTCGCGGGTGATGTTAGAGGTTTCCCATCTGAATTTGATGCCCTGCAAGATGAGGATGATCTTGCCCTCCCTAGGTATCAGGCTCCTGCACCGCGGGTCGAGGACCCCCCTTTTGAGGAAGGTGGGGAAAGTGAATCTGGTCCGCCTGCCGCTCACTTTCTTGTTCTTATCCCCGACTGCCTCCCAGAGCAAATTACTGTCGACCTTGAGGACGGGCTTGGTTTGCAAGATGTCTTGGATATTGTTTCCGATTCACTTGACGAGCATCGCTCCTTGCTCTTTCCTCTACTTGTCCCTGCCGACCCACAGCCTGACCCGCATTGGGGTACCCTCCTTGCCTTGCCACCATGGGCAGTTGGGATACCAGTTGCCTGCTTTGATGTCCGAGAAATTGACGGACGGCTATTTGCTCTTGAAGTCCCTAGACAGGCTACGAGTGACCTGCTGTGTAGATATGCCGGATTGGACGATCAGGGCACTTTCTCAGTTTTTGCATATGGCAGTCGTACACCACTAGAGCCGCGAGAAGTCGCTGAATACGTTCCCGGTGGAACCATTGTTTTTGCTATCAGTACCGGTCGCCGACGCAGACCTGTGACACTTGAGCACATGTTGGCTCGCCAGCACCACTGGGATCCAGATCCTGAGCTTCCCTTTGGACCGGTTGGACATCACCACTGCTGTGTTACCAGTGGGCAAAGATTGGTCACTTGGGACGTTGCCCGACATGCCGACCTGCCCTCTGCAGTTGCTGAAGTCTTGCATTTTCAACCCACAGCTTTCGCGTTGACGTCGGCATCGCCTGCTGTAACTGATGCTGCCATCTCTGGCCACCATTGCCTCAATGTCCATGCCATTGAAGTCTTTGAGTTTCGACATGAGAGGGCACTCACCTTCGGCCTACTTGACTGCCGCCCCCTACTACAGGGATGGTCGCTCATTGAAGCCCCGACTGGGCGTGCCTCTTACTCCGACATTGTTACAGTCCTTGATACTTTCGCTCCTGCCGGCTGGATCTCTCAGATTGATCCTGTTGGACTTGACGATCAAGGTACATTCCAGGTCCTACCAGGGCAAGTTTTTGTTGCCTCTTACGCGCCGGATTCGGACCAAGAAGCTGTTCCCGTCGAAGCTACTGCTGGAGAACGTGCCCCCTCTGATGACTCAGAGGAACCGACTCCTAACCAGACAATCAACCCACCAACTGGGGGGACCACGCCACCTGCCGAGGATGGACAGATGAGACACAGATCTCGCAGTCGATCTCCTCCTGGGCACCATGATGCTTGGGTGTCCAGCGGACATAGAGTTACTAAGAGCATTCACGGTCATTTTCTTTGCAAAAAGATCTGTGAGAGCCTCCTCACTTATATTGGGGTTGACGTTGTCACTGCCTGCAGTAGAGTAGTCAAGCAATCGTGCAGTTCTTGTAAGGACCGTTTGTCCCTCACCTGCTCGCTTGCCTCTGTCCTCCTGGGCAAGCCCCCTAGTAACGGTTCGTCATTCTGGTTCCCAACTGCCACTAGGCCTAAACCTGTAGCTGCTGTACTCGCTGTTGGCTGCAAGACAATCTCGCCAATCACTTGTAACCTTGGCGACTCAGCTGGCAGTCATCATCCAGCACATTGGGCCGAACTCACTCCCCACAGCCCCGATACTCAAGTAGCCGAGGGACAGTGGATTTATACTGCGCCAGATGGGGATGAGCACTTGTTTCCGCCGCAGTCTGACCCTTCTGACGACGGCCTTGATGAGGAGGCCAGGCTTCGCACCCTCCCTTTCATCATCCTTGCTCCGGGATACCATCAGAGGTATACCTGGGTCAATCTTCTTGTGCCCACCATTCCTGCCGAAGCTATCATTGCTGTCCAACAGTGCCGGTCACAAGACGATTTGCGCCGCTTCCCTGTTTTGTCAGCTGCCTTTCAGCAGACCCTACCTGGGGTTGGGGTCCTTATTGGCGAACCACCATGGTCTGTACATGCTTCGACCATCTGCTTGGACGTCACAAGGGTAGATGGACGCCTATTTGCTGTTCGTGGTCGTGCATATGCTGACCGGCATGCATTGCTGTATCTTGCCGATTTGCCCTTGTCCAGTGATGTTGCCATCTTCGTAGGTGGTGACACACATTCCCTCCCCGAGGGAGCAGAATGCCACCTGACACATGGACTGGTTGTTGTTTTCGTGCCAGCAGGTCATGGTCCGCCACAGTGCCGCTCTCTTGGGGACATGCTTCTGCGCCGGGCCTCCTGGGGATATAGGACATCTGATCTGCCTACTGCCCCTGACGACACTTACGGTCTATTGTACGAAGGCCAATGCATCTATCACCAAAGGGGCAGTGTCAGCCCCTTCTTGTACCGGCAACATATTGCCGCCTGCATTGGAGTTCCGGTCGACAGCCTTCGCCTCTTTCCTGCTGCTCCCAGAGTCAGTGATGCTATCATTGATGGGTGGCCTGTGCGTAATGTCATTGGCATCGCCGACACCTCTGCCCATTTTGCTGGGACCTCTCGTTGCATTTTGCTTGATGCACGACCAATTGGACAAGGTTGGTTTGAGCACCGGGTTCATGGTGAGTGGATCGATGTTGATGAATTGCTCCGTGACTTCTCTAGAGCAGCCCCTATCGGTTGGAGTGCTGCCATTGCGGGTCACCCTGCTACGGATAGCCGGATTGCCGTTGATGCCGGCTCAGTGCTCACCATTGAGTTCGTTGCCACACCTTGTGCCAGGCCACCACGTGATTCTAGGTCTTCCAGCGATCCTCCGAATTCTGCCTCGGATGAGCAACCACACCCCACCACCGTTCATGCTGCTGCAGACAATGCCACTCCCATTAGACGAGCCTGACGTGACCCCAGACTCTGACTCAGCCACCAGTGCCATGCCTCCAGCCTATATTTCTTGCATTTTTCTCATTTTGGGTCAGAATTACTGCCCTCAGGTCGTCCAGGTTAGGCTCCGTCGGGGTTGTCCCATAGATGAAGCACTTACGGCAGTCAATTCAGCTAGGACTCCCTACTTCAGGCAGTACTTTCCTGGACTTTGTGCAGCATTTCCGCAGACGCTTTCTGGCATAGGCGTTTTAGTTGCTGTCCCCCGGTGGCAGCATGCAGGTGCCATTGTAGTATTGGACACCTCCCGCATCGATGGTGTTATACAAGCGATTCATCTGCCTGGTTTGCTCACAAAAGAGGGTGTTCTTGCTGCAGCACATCTATCCTCTGCGCCTGGATACCAACTGTATTCCAACACTATGCCCTGGCCGGTACCACCTGGCCTCCAGTTTGCAGTCTCTTCAGGGCACGCCCTTGTCCTGATTAGTGCACGGTCTCCTCCCTTTGTCACCACTGACCTTGCCAGTATGCTTTCAGACCCTCAGTGCTGGGATTTAGCGTGGGTTCCAGATTTGCAGTTTGCCGAGAGAGCCTGGATCATATCGTCCCAAGGAGATTTTTCCTTTCGCATAACCACCGATTGCCGATCACACTTTCGGCGCGACATAGCTGAGATTCTAGGTCAGCCCCAGTCCACCTTTCGGCTGTCTTTACCTGAGCCTCCTATTGTCGACTTTGCTGATCATGGCAGGCCTGTCCAGCATGTGTTTGCCACTGCCATTTCTGACGACCTTGCCCAAGTTTACGGACCTGACGCCTTTCGGTGTTTTGTTGACCTCAGACCTTTGCTCTTGCCCATCCGGGTATACTATGCCTCCGCGCCAGTGCTGAGCGCGAGCCGCTTTGCCTATCTTGCGGCTCAGTGCCCAGTTGGGTATTTCTTGGGTTATTCCAATAGGGTTCGGGGCTTCCGAGCACGGGGAGATAATATTCCATTCCAACATTGCGGGGTTGTGGTACTTGCTTTTCTGCCTTTGGCCGCGATGCAGGATCTGCCCTCTGATGACTCCGGAGATGCACCGGCTCCTGGCGGTCCAGACCCTCCTGCCGGTGGGGTTGGGCCAACCGTACCAGATACCACCTCCGAAGACACATCTGATTCGCACACGCGATCCACTGGTCCAGATGCAGGCACAGGCAGCACACAGCGGGTTTTATCTAACACCTTTGGCCTTAGCAATTGCCGCGCAGCCACCTGCGCTGCTCAATCAACGACACTGGGCATCGGATCCAGCACCTTCACAGGTTTGCTATGGATCCTTTCAGTTGCTGCCTTCATCATTCGCGAGGTCAGGTCTGCTGAGGTTGGCGTCAAATGGATTGGTACCTGTTTCTGCGCCACATCGATTCTGCCTCGCCACTGCCCACGACCCTCCTCTCCTCCCAGGCGTCCACTTCACAGTTGGGGTTGCATTTGTCCTTATTTTCTCATCGGCACTGTGTTCCTCTGGGCCATCACAACACCTGCCGCAGCTGTCCAGCTTCCAAGTGTTGATATTGAGGGTTTCGAGGCTGGACGTCCTGTCATTGGACGCCCGCACCGACCAGTGCCCACTCCCTGTCGAAGCTATTGCCGAATACCAGACGCCTTTGATGACATCCGCTTAGTTGCCGATGGGGACTCTTTACAGGATGAGGTGTCAGGGCCATTTGTGACACTCCTTGAGCAGTCTCGGCACGAAACCAGGGACTACCCACTCTTTCTAGCCTCGACCTTGCTGGATACGCTGATTGAGCACCTCAGTGCAGAGCAGGATGCTGCTGACACTCATTCTGCCATGAGCCACTCCGGACAGGCTCTTAGGGGGATATGTCTGGCAGAGGCTATTCCCTCAGTTGTCTGCCACGATCTCTCTCTTGCCACTTTGCAGTTGCCTTTTGACTGCAATGAACTCTTTTCTGCTCTTAGTGGTGTTTGGGAATTGCCGCATGTGCTTCCTGCTGGCCTTTCCTGGCATCCCTCCACAAGTGCCGCGCTTGCAGAGCATGCTGACCTCTCCTCTGGTTTGACTGCAGGTCTGACTTCTGTTGAGGTCTTTACCGACGGCTCCTTTAATGGCCATCATAGCACATGGGCCTTTGTTGCTATCGGCCATTCTCCCGCAGGTTCCTTGCTACTGGCATGGGCCCGCGGAGATGTTTTTCTCAATGATGAGCCCTGGGCCATTGGGGCTACCAATCACAGTGCTGTCAATGGAGAAAGAACTGCGGTTTTCTGGGCTACGTGCTGGATGTTGGGCTTGCGCCAGGGGCCCCGTAGAACCCTTTATAGTGACTGCCTAGTTGCTGCCCGTCAGGCTGACGGCACATATGGAGCCAATGCCGAGCTTCGTATTGCCAACGCAATTAGGTCCATTGTGCAGGTCCATGATACTGTCAACAGTGGGTTGCCACTTGCTATTTCTCACGTGAAAGGGCATGCAGGTAACCCTTACAACGAGCTTGCCGACACTTTAGCTGGTGCCACCGAGATCACCGGAGCGTCAATGCCTACGTATCTCCTTTATTTTGGCAAGTGGGCTCGGGACTCCTCCATTGAATGGCTCTGGCTTTCTATTGCCTCTCTCCATCATCAGCCAACACTGCCCCGTCAAACTGGCGAATGCCTCACTGACCCTGTTGGTCATTCGGACCTCGAGCAGTGCCGCTTGCAACCTGCCCAAGCCTTTGGCCCGGAATTTGAGAGGCCGACTCCTATGCCAAGCCTAAGTCCTGCCTTCCGTTTTCATGTGCGCCTACTCACAGTCAACGTTCAGACACTATGTGAGGATTCCACTTCGCAGCCCAACCGAGTTCCCTTTGTCCGTGAGCAGCTTTCACAACTAGGTTGTGCCATCGCTGGCTTGCAAGAAACAAGGGCAAAGCAGACCTCCACGGTGACGTCCAAAAGCCATTATCGGTTCCTCTCAGCATGTGATGAGAGAGGAAACCTTGGGGTTGAACTCTGGATATCGCGTACAGTTCCAATCGGTTGGCATGGGGACAAGCCAGTCTTCAGCGATCTTGCTGACTTCTGTGTGCTTCATTGGTCCCCCCGTAGCCTCATCGTACGGCTAGTCAAGGGCACTTTTCGGGTCCTACTAGTTGTGTGCCATGCGCCGACTGCTGGACATGCCACCAGGGCCAACTGGTGGAAGGACTTCGCTACCAAAGTGTGTAAGTGTTCCGGGGGTGATAAGGTAGTAATCTTAGGCGACTTAAACCTCCGCCTTGGACATTCCCTCCATCAACGGATTGGTGAAGTTGTATGGGAGGATGAGCTCGACTAGACCTCTGGATACCCTCGACTTTTGATCACTGCCATCATGGCTCTAGTCATACGTGGATTGCACCTTCTGGCAATGCGGTGTCGCGGATCGATTATATTTTGATCCCTGCTGCCTGGCCAGTCGGCAAGGCTTGCTCACAGGTATGCTATGATGTGGATTTTGGCCAAGCCGGCCTTGACCATTTCGCTGTTCAGTTGGATCTTGATGTTTGGTTCCCTCTTTGGCGACCTGCAGAGATCAAACGTCTCTCCTTTGACACAGCACGACTCCTCCAGCCTGACTCCAGTGCAGCAGTCCGGGACATTTGTGACTCGGTGCCGGAGGTTTCTTGGGCAGTCGACCCCCACAGTCATTATCAACAGGTCGCAGACCATCTCACGACTGCCTTTGCCAAGGCCTTTCCCAGGCACCGTGCCGTAAGGCGACGAGCTTTCTTTTCGGACACTACATGGGGGCTTCGGCAACAACGAGTCTGGTGGCGACGACAGGCCCATGTCTCCAGCAACTTCCTCTGCCATCTACCTGTTCGTGGGGCCTTTTTGGCATGGAGTTTTGGCAAGCCCCTTGGTTCTGCCATTTTTGCCTGTTTTGCTGGTCTCCTCGAACATGTCTACCAGCTCAAGGCTGCCGTTACTGAACTTCAGCTTCTGAAGCCGGCATTTCGACGGTCTCTCTGCAACGACCGTCGGACGTACCTCACCACTGTTGCGGAGGGTGCATGTAGTATGCCCACCAGAGATGTTGTGGCCAAGCTCCGTCCGCTTATACAGGCCCGCCAAAACGCAAACAGAGGGGGCATGCCCCTCTTCCTGCTGTTTTACTTGAAGATGGCACTCTTGCTGCTGATGCAGACGAGGCTGACAAGCGATGGGTTCGGCATTTCAGCGAGGCTGAGAACGGTGGCCCTGTTGATCCGGCAGAGTTAATCCGCGGCTGTCTCGAAAGGCAGTCATGTCTTGACATTGCCGACCTTGATGTTTGTGTCGAGGATCTTCCTACTAGATGCGAACTCGAGGCTGCCATGAGGAGGTCTCGGTCAGGCCGTGCAGCTGGCAGTGACAGCCTGCCGGCTGAGGTATGGAAAAGTCACACTTCAGCCCTCTCGAAAGTCCTGTATCCCATCCTGCTTAAAACAGCTTTCCGACTCACCGAACCGATTCACTTCAAAGGTGGAGTTATGCACAGCCTTTGGAAAGCCAAGGGACCGCTTGAGGAGTGTTCCAGCTACCGTGGAATTTTGGTCTCAAGCGCAGCAGGAAAGTGTATACACAGTGCCTTTCGTCAAAAATGCGGCCCATGGCTGGACTCGTTGGCCAGCCCCCTTCAAGTCGGCGGCCGGCGAGGCTTCCCCGTCCAGCTGGCTTCGCAGGCCGCTAGATCTTTTCAACATGCCTGTCTGAAAAAAGGTCAGAGCGTTGCTCTGATCTTCTTAGATCTACGTGAAGCATTCCATAAGGTGGCGAGGCCCTTGATTCACGGTGGACAGTTAGACGACGAACACGTCGCCCAGATGATGTCTGCGTTTAACATACCGCCAGATCAGGTCCACGAGTTACATGCGCACGTCAGACAGACCGCTTTGGTGCAGGAGGCCGGAGCATCGCCTTGGGCATCCTCCCTTTTGCAGGAGTTCCAGTCTAGTACATGGTTCAGCATCAGGGGGCACTTGGCTGAGGTCAAGGCTGGAACCCGCCCCGGAGATTCCCTGGCGGATATCGTTTTCTCCTTCCTTTTTGCAGCAGTGTTAAAAAGACTTCGCCAAGCTCTGCTCGACGCAGGTCTCTCCGTTTTCCTACCATGGGACCCTTCCTGGGAGGGAAACCTTGATGGCCCGAGTTCCTCCCCCAATGACAGTCTTGCACCGTTGGACGTGTCCTGGATGGATGACCTGGTCATTCTTCTATGGTCGGACAGCCCCTCCCAGCTTGTTGAGGATGTCAAGTTTGCCGCTGAGACCCTCTTAGATCAGTGCGTCAAAGCGCTGTTGCATCCTAACCTTTCTCCTGGGAAAACGGAAGCGGTCCTCTCGCTCATTGGTCCTGGATCCCGGGGCCTGCGCTCACGCCTTTTCAGGAATCCCCAACCGGGCATTCCTCTGCAGCCAGCGTTGCATCCACCAGCTACCCTCCGTCTTGTTCCTAGATACAAACACCTCGGAGGGGTCCTGCACTGGCAAGGCCACCTGTCACATGAGCTCAAGTCGCGCATCGGACAAGCCTGGCAGGCTTTTCGTAAGCATCGGCGTGCGGTTTTTTATTCACCTCTGGTGACGCACCGCGAGAAGTCCCTTCTGTTTCAGTCCGTAGTTGCGTCCACTCTTTTCTACGGTGCAGGTACATGGGTCTGCGACGACACATCCTCCCTTGATCCCCTTCGCGGTGCATTGTTGGCGATGGGTCGGCAAATGTTGCGACCGACCTTTGATCGGGAGCAGTCCCAACACGTAGGGGCAGGCAGAGTTCTTGCGATAGCTCGCCTCTCCACTGTCGATGCCGAGATCCACGCCGCGAGGCTCAGGCACCTCTCCACTGTACTGCGGCAGGCGCCCGCTGAGTTCTGGGCAATCCTGCATCATGACTCTCAGTGGTTTCACCTGCTTCGGGAGTCCCTGTCATGGCTCCGAGCTTCCTTTTCCAGGGCAGCCTTCCCAGTCGATGACCTTGAGGAATGGACAAGGACCGCATGTGTCATACGGGATAAGCCACAGACCTGGAAAAGGTGGATCTCCAGGGCCTTACACCTCGATCGTCTTACTGCCTTGTGGGACGCTGAAGTAGCACATTACCATGGCCTGTTCTTGCGTTTCCTTCTGACCCATGGGGCTCACCCTGCCTCTGATGTCCTCACATGTGAGCAAGCCCAGGAGCTGTGTGCTCTGTGCGGGAAGAGCTTTCCCAATCTCAGAGCTTGGAGCCACCATGCTTTCAAATGCCACGGACGTGTCAGGGAGGAGCGGCTCTATGCCAGTGGGAACCGTTGCAACATCTGTTTGCGCCTTTTTGCCTCCAACTTTCGACTTTGTAACCATTTGCAACACTCCAAATCATGTTTTGCCGCTCTCCTCGCTGCTGGGGACCCTGGTGAACCCCAACCTGGAAGAGGGAGTCGCAAATACAACTCTGGGGCCGAACAACCTTGCCCAGCAGTTACTGCAGCTGGGCCTGTCTTGGCCAGGCAAGAGGTTACTTATGTCCCTGAGGCTGAACGGCCTGATCCTGCAACCCTCTCCGCTCTTGAGATGATCTATGCCTTCCCTGAGGAATGGCCTTGCTTTCAGGACCTTCTTGAGGCTGTCCGGGCAGCCTTTTGTAAGACGTGCTTGCAAGTTTCTAGGTTGAAGGCGACAGCTGCACAATGGTGGAACAATCTGCATGAGGAGCTTGACAGGTGCGATGATGTACCTGTAGCCTGGGCTGCCCAACATTTGCGCATTGCTAGGATGCTACTGCAGGTAGACTTTGTCACCTGGCTTGCTCCGACACCCACTGCCCATGGCCCCCAGCTCTCAACGTTCCGTGATGCAGCCAAGGTGCTGCCCTGGCTTGTTTTTGATCTTGTCCAGTTTCCTTCACCGCAACCGTCCTCTGAGGACACTCACTGGATTTGTGCCCGCTCTCCCCCAAGACCGAGCTCAGTTGTTGAGATTTGGGACTTCGTTTCCCATGACTCCTGCTTTGCCGATCCTGGATTGTTGGATTTTGACGCATGGTGCCGATCCCGAAACGGTTGCGTGCGGGGCTTTAGTCTCATCGGACTCTTGCCCTCGCTTCAATGCCCTCCTGCTACTCGCTCCTACAAGTCCCTGCAGGAACCCCTTCAGCAACTGCGCCTTTTTGCTGACATCGTTCGGGGTCTTGTCCTGCTATGGTCTGCTGGCCGACCTGCCTTTGTCATTGCCCCGTCCATTGCATGCCCTGGACTTAGGGTCACTCGGCAGCTCGCCACAGATGTAGTTGAAGTAGAAGGAGCCACTGTCCTTGCCAACTTTCCCGGTATTGGCGGACTTGTTTCTCGTCTCACCTCTTTCTAATTAAATGCAACATAGGCTGCATCCGATTCGGATTCCGTGCCTCGAAAGCGAAAGCGAAAGCGATATATATATACATATATATATATATAGATACAGATATAGATATAGATATAGATATAGATATAGACATATATATATATACATATATATATATATATATACACAGATATGTATCTTCTCATCCTTGCCACTGCATCTGCTGTTATTAGCCGCGCACTCTCTGATCCCTGGTTGCAGGTGGTCAGTTGGTTTTCGTTGAGCACGTATTGGCCGACAGTGCCAAAATGCCCTTTCTCCTGGCAGCGCAAGTTGCCTTGCGCCCTGTGCAGATGGCCTTGTGCAACGGCTGCCCGTCGGCAAATAGTGCTTTTCGCGTTTCGGCGCAGCTGACATGGTGATGCGAATATAGGGGCCCATTCTGGTAGAATGGGCCCAAACCCCGATTCTAATTACTAAGGCCCCCTATACCAGCCACTGGCTTGGGGCACGAGCCAAACTGAAGCAAAAAAGACCAGAGAATGACTGGCAGGACGAGCGCATTGAAAGTCTTCAGAATCGGAAACTGATGATATTTGCAAAAGCTTTTTGGGAACTATCCCAGTCGAGACTGGTCACTTTGCATTGCGGCACCCAACCTCGAAAAATCCTCAAGCCCAGGCTGCGATCCATGCCGCGACACCGAGCGGCTTTTTGAGAGCGAGCTCTTTGAGGTTCCTTGGAGGATGTTTTGGGCTTGGCGTTCAGTGTTTGGGATTGTTGCGTTTGGGCTTGAGGGTTTTACGTCCTTGGATTCCGGACGTGATGATTGATCGGGAGCTGTGGGTTTGAAGTTGAGTGTCGGAGCATTGGCTTCAGATGTTGAGCCTTTCCGACTGGCTTCAAAGACAGGGTTCTGGGCACCAGCGTTTAGGGTTTAGTTTGCAACTGGTTAACTGGTTTGAGTCAGAGGACGCGTGTAAAAAGATTCCGCATTGCTTCTTCTAACTACTCGTGTTCGAGACCGTCACCAGGCACTGGACAGACTGCACCATTCCGAACACTGAGCCAAGCTTGCCAACACTCCGTAGACTAAACCTGACTAATTTCAACTACACAATATCTCACCCGTTTACGCCTGCGCCTGAGGCGGTGAAGCTGAAGCGCTTCAGCTTGCCGGTGCTCGGAGTTCCTATACCCCACATCAAGGGCATTGCCCTGAAGAGTGAAGGCGACCTCACCAAGACATGGCCTGGGCCGTTGAGTGTCGAAGAGTTTATTTGAAGACGAACCGTGACATGGCCCAGTTCCTCCGCCCGATTTGCAGTGCCTGGATATCTGCAAGAGAGGATCCTGGAAGAGACAGTCTTTGGGCAGATACTCGCCGAGCCGAGTGTGCTTCCAACTGCCTGTGGACACCCAGCTGCCAGCGATCGCACAGACTGCACGTGCAGACAAGAGTTCGCCCTCAGTCTCACAAAAAGCTATTGCTTTCTGCATGCGGCTGCTGAAAGATTCACCATAAACGCAAAGGCATGTCTGGGCGTGCCTGACACAGGTGTAGCCCTCCAGCGGCAATGATGCCCGCCACGCACTCAGGGGTCCACAAAAGTCAAAAGTGGTTTGTTCTGTCAAGCCTTAGTATTGAATTGTTCAACCTTTTTCGGGTACTATAACCCGAAACGTGAGCTTGTATAGAGTATCGGTTACTGGTGCCGATGCACTGTTCGCGCCTTGCTCGTTGGGTTGCGTGCATTGGTCGTGTTTCTTGCCAGCTCCGAAATCCTTCACTGCTACGCTTGGTGCCTCCGAGATTTGGGAGTGTCCGAAAATAAGGGACCCTAATATAGTACCCTAAATAGTAGGATCCTTGTTATAAGGACCCCGAATAAGGTTCCCCTAATTTTCGGAAACTCCAATTTAACAGCAAATCCCTAAAGTAAGGTCTCTTGCTTTCGTCTTGGAAAAAGAAAGTAAAGAAAATTTCTTCCAGGGGCCAAAATAACTACTAATACTATTCCGGGTATTATAAGTATAGTACAACGGGCCCCTATATTAGAGGTTGCAAAGTCTGATAGACATCAGACCCTCGGGCCTCACCGTCCACGTCTTCTAGGCATACCGAGTGTTAGAAATGAATAGACAGAAATGCATGTGTGTATATATATAATATAATATAATATATATATATATATATATATATATAATAAGATCATATATGTATATATATATAATCTATATATATATATATATATATGTGATATATGCATAACAAAGATAACATGTACATACATATACATATACAGACATATTCTGGTAAGACGACAGTTCGTCGCACTGTCGCATGTCGGTCTTGAAAAGCTTGCAAGAAGCTCCTTGCCCCGTTAGACTCCTCCATCAGTCTTCCGTCCGGAACATTGAGGAGTCTAAATCGAATTACTCGGGTGGATTGACTCCTCCGCTAGCCAGGCCGCGTAAAATGCACTTTACGGCACTTTGCGTCCTGCAGGATCTCATAGGCAAGGGCGACAAAACTTACTATATGCGCGCTTGATATAGATATGCATGGTGGTGGCATCTTGCAATCACAATATCTAGGTCAACATAGTCATTGTAGGTAGCAGACCGACAGTAACAAGCGTTCAACCTTCCAAACACCCGACTCCCAGCACCACACAACCTGGACAAACCGACAGCGTTAAAAATTGGATGGTTTCGGCTATGCAGGGCGGTGATGGTCAAGAGCAGGAGAAGCATGATGAGCATCATCATAATGCCAAGGATGATCAGGATGCGAATGGGGACGATGATGACAGCAGTAGCAGCATCGCGCTTTCGGAAGGATGAACCCGAAATTGCCCCCAAACCCGAAACCCGGGGTGCTTGACGGTGTCAGGAGTGTAAATCCCTAGACCCTTGTGAGACTTGTGGGAGTCGACAACCCGGGACTAGCCCTCTGCAATTGCAGCATAGTCTCGTGTAGTGGTGTCCTGCCGAAACCGATTCAGCAAATCGCGAATTCAAAAACCTGAAACGTACATCACCCTATCAAAAACACAAAAACGTAGGAGTACGTGAGCCCCCGTCCAAACAGAGCCCTGAGATCACGAGGCTCCTGAGCCTTCGCCGACAAACAGAGATCAATCGCCGGTGGCGGAGCGCTCTGGCAGTGGGCCTGGCTAGCTTTCTGAAATCTGGGGGGGTTTAGGATTTAGGCGGGAGTTCTTTGTGAGCGTTCTATAAGTTAAAGGGGGTTTTTGAATAACGGGGCTATGCAAGCAATCTGTTTAGGGTGCCTTCTTGAAAACTCTTGTCGGGCTTAGGGCGAAAGGCTTCTCGGAGACTCCGGGATCTTTTTCAGGGCCTAGGATCTGGCTAGCCCCAAGCCCAGTGGCAGAAAAGGGCCCCCTTTCGTGAAGGACCCCGACTCGGACTTAGTTTCGAAGTGCTTCTTTAAGTTACTGATACCGAAGTCCGGGTTGCAGGGTTTAGGCCTCTGGGCCGGCGGATTGGAGGGTTGGAGGCAGTATGTTGAAAAGAGGCTTCCCAGCAGAGTTATGCATGTACAGGCTGAGGTGTACGGTTTCGCATGGTAAACGTCTCAGCTAGTCCACTTTGTTTGCACTGTGCCTGCTCAGCACATTAGTGGCCGCGTCTCGGCACGCCGAATTCTGGGCAGCCTCAGGGAAACAATCCAACGACATGTCGGCAGTCGTCGAGCCGTCGGAGAAACAGCCATCACTCCGATCATACACTTCAGAGCTTTAGTCTGGGCGCATTTTTTCTAGCTCCAAAATCAGCAAGCACATGGTTTGTCTGCTGGTTGCTTAGTGTTCACTGTGCATGTGCGCCTAAATCAAGGAAGCTGCTGCGGTGGATGCAGCCTTGCACTCGCCTCGACGACCATGGTGCTGTTGATCGCTGCAGCACCCTCAGCTCGTGTATTCCAGCTTCAGGCTTGGGAAATGGAGTCATGTAATTACATGTTACGTGCTGATACGGTCTACTGATCAGCAGGTAGCATAGGGCATAGGACAAGTGTTGGTACTGTTTTGACTGGCCAGTGAATATCAGAACAGTGTTGTGCTCCTGTTACAGCAGCTACTCATGCCATTTCTGGTGCTCCTACTACGGATAGTACCGTCGGCGCTACAGTTGCAGCTGCATTTGCTGCACGGTAATTTCGTGCTCGCTAGGGCGTGACAGGCGCAGCAAAGGTCAAGTGAAGCATAAAGTAATTTATTAGTAGCAGTAGCAGGTCTAGGAACAGGAACAGGAGGAAGCGGTGGCAGAGATAGGGCAGGGCAGTAGTAAGCCGTCATTGCTGGCACTGGTCCGCTCCGCTTGTAATTAAGACCTCTTACACGATCGCCTGTGCTGCCTCTCGTAGCCGTCGGGCCACAAGTGATCTTGGAAGGCCAGGAGTCTTGGGAGTTTGATACCTCTGCCAGAAGATCCTCTCGATCAGCGTCATGACGAAGCAGCTGGAAGTGCCGAAGCAGGCATCTCAACACGGAGCTCGCATGTCCCGACGCAAGACTGACGGCGACTCACGGATGCTGGACCTCGGAGACTTTGCACTCGCCTGCACTCCCTCAGCTGAGACGGGCAAGATCGTGCACCGTCGCCGCCGACCCAAAGGAGGGACTCTCCATCAGTACATGACAGCCCGCCGACCGTCGCAGCCGGATCAGCTTCCCAAGATTCCAAGTCCAAGGGTTGAGAAGGAACCCTTGCAGAGGCACACCAGTCTGCCGGCGATCGTGGATGTGAAGACCGAAGCATTGTTGCTGTCCCGCCAGCTCCACTTGGACTTTCATGAAGTGAAGCACGCCGTGCAGGAGCTGCGGAAAGAACATGCAGAACTTGCTAACGGAGGCTTTTCGGACTTTCCTCTGGTTTGTCGAGAAACAGGGTTTCTAGCACTGGTTCACTTCCTGCATGCTACGGGGTGGCACGTGTAAACACACGGCAGTAAAGCTCTTGCCAAGAATCCCTCACTTCCGGTCCCAGATCTTATGCAAACACTAGAAGAAGTCTCCGGAATTAAATGCTGCAGCCCAGAAGTGTCCTTTCTCCACGGCATTCATCTGGCATTCACCATCCAGAGAAGCTTCCGTCTCAAGCTCTAAAGGCATGGAGCTTGCAACTTTTCGAGACTGCGTACTTCGAGCCTTCAGCGTCAAAGACATCCACGATCGACTCCTTCAGGATGCATACCGCCAATGCAAGGCTCGTCTTCGGATCTTTAGGGCTTGAGGCTTCATGCTTCCCTTAACAGAGAAGCATGAACTGGATATCACTACTATACCTCAGGGCTCCTTGAACTCATGTACATCATACTACACTATACGTACCCGCAAAGCCTATTTTACTTACCTAGACCCCCAAAAGTAGGTAAAATAATGGCCCAAACCAAAAAAAGGCTATTATTCTACATACTTTTGGGGTCCATGTATTCAGGCCCCTCAATTTTCGAAGTTTCATGCGGGGTCCCGGGGGCTTGGAGGGGCGAGGCTTGGGGACGGCAGGGCCTGACGCTCCCTTTAGAGGGGTTTATAGGGCTTCTATAGGGCTCCCTTTAAAAGGTATTATAAGGGGTACTTTAAGGGATCTATAGGGGTGCTCCCGGGAGCTTGTTTGGGGCTCTTGCGAACAGGTCCAGAGAGACCCATACCCCTACATCAGTATTTGATGCTTCCTGCGTAGGGAGAGTCTCAATCTACCCACTGGGCCGTACTAAGTCCAGATCCCTTTTGCATGCCTGCTGGACGACTTTGTTTATTTTGTTTTCACGACATGTCTCTAAGGTTGTTGCTGCTTTTGCTGTTAGCTGAAGATGGTGACGTGATTCAGGACAGCTCGCGGTGGGCATTGGCGCATCTTGTGATTCATGCTGGGGTTCGGAAGAGTTAATTCAGTGGAAGAGTTAACTCAGTTTCTGCGAGCTCCGAAAACCCAACTTGCACAGCCGACAGGCAGCAGATGGACCAGTGAGCCCCAAGCGGTTCTTGTCCTGGTATCGGGACCACATCTTCATCTTCATGCATGAGCAGGAGACCTTTCTTCGGGCTTCTGGGCTTCTGTAGGACTTCGCAGGCGGAGTCCTAGGGTTGATGATATAAATCCTGCATGACCCATAATAAGGAATATACCATAATTCCCATAGTTCAGGGTCCTTAAGGTAATGCAGGATTTGTATCATCAACCGCAGTAGTAGCTCTCCGTAGAAAACTGATGTTGATCCCTCGGCTCTTGAAGACAGGAGAATGACCCCGCGAAGGAAAGTGCAGATGCTTTGACTCTCGAGCTGGCCAAGAAGCATGATTGCTCTTGCATTGAGCTTGACAAGGTCAAGCTGCAGTTCGACCACTTTGATATCGACAAGTCAGGCCTAATTGAGTACAATGAGTTTGAGTCGATGATGTACACACTCCTACATTGTGCCAGCAAGTCAGACCTCCCACCGAATCGCATTGAGCGCTTCTGGCATGAGGCGAGGTATAGTTTATATATGCCGTTAGGAGATTGTTGTACAGCTGGTTGGGTGTTTTTGTGACTGCATATTTGGGGTGCCCGTATCCCCCAAAAGCAGTCACGAAAGAGCAAACTTTCAGGTGGACTTGGATGGCAATGGATCGGTGGACTTCACTGAGTTCACGGAGTGGTATCTCAAGTACTTCGCCCTTGCCCAGGAGCATGGTCCCATTGAGGCGTTCTACGCTTCTTTCATGCCAAGCGTTCAACGGACAAAAAGCTTGGAGTCCAGAAACTCCACAAGTCCTAGGGAGGTCAAGGACGATGCTTTCGCGGTTCTGCGCCACCTGGAACAGCCCAAGAAGCTCGAGCCCCTGCGATGCCGAGAAGAGCTGCGCGTCTCCCCGAAATCAATGAGGCGTCGTATGACCACCGGATCCTGCATCGACAACTCACTCTGTTGAAGCGCGTGTGCCACAGCCGATGGCCTGCTTTACAGCAAGGAGCAATGTCTGGTTGGCCCAGTATTATCACATCATCCCAGGAATATCACATCATCGCAGTTTCAGTTTAAGTTTGAAGCCTCTCTGGCAAGCATGCTTTTTCAACGTTTTAGCTTGCCACCAGAGCGGCGTGAAGAGTGCAGCACGCCTCTGGGTGCTTCAGTAGCAGGACACAGCTGGAGTGCTGCAGCTTCGCTACCATGGCTCAAGCCATGAAGGGACGTAGTGTAGGATTAGTCTGTTTTGTCTGTTTGTGCACGTACATTTCGTCTTGCAACTGCAAGAGGTTCCCTACCCATGCTAGGGACGGAATGGGAACGGCAGCACAACTTTCGCTGCGAACAGTTTTGAGTTTAGGCGGCGCTCATGTGCTAAAAGCACTGCCCGCCGATCTGTACAGACCTAGCCTGCATTTCTGGCTATCCACTGTGTGGCCGAGATCTCCACGGTGTTTGGCTTCATGCATTTCCTCGGCTAGAATGCTGGAGAAAATTGAGCGGTACTCGTGGGCGTCCGTAATACGCCACCATGTCTTCCGATGCGGTTCTAAGCAACAGTGTGAGGGCATAGGGCTCATACTCTAGATTCGAGTTCTGTAGGATAGAGTACACAGCGGGCAAGCTCCCGGTTCTAAGCTGCAGGAGGCTCCCGCCACATTGAGATTTTGAACTCCGCAAATCCGAGTACTGGAGACTCGAGACCGTGCTTCCCATGAAATTGTTCGTATTATTCCTTTTGCGTGTTAGTATTGTTGCACGTATTGCCATTACAAGTCTTATTAATAGTTTTAGAATTCTTGTTCTTGCTGTTAGTACGAGACCATGCCATGTCCCAGGTCTTGGGGCCATTTTTCCAGCCATCTCCATCGGAGGTCGGGCACCTCAAGCTCTACGGCTTTGCGAGTTTGAGTTGGTTATATTA